GCCGAGGCGTGGTGGGCCAGAACTGGCGGCGCGACACGCCAAGCAAAGATTCCTGGATCGATGTTCGAGGGCCTCGGCAGGCGGCGCGTGTGGATACGTGCTGCCCACCCAAGGCCCGAATCTACGGTCAGGAACGCTTGCTCAGCGTGACGCGGCGGCGCCTCTGGCGACATGCTATGCCCTGCGAGCTGACAGCGCGTCGCCCCGCTCAGCGGGGCCGTTTTGGAATCCCGAAACGGTGCGGTGACTGACCGTGCGGTGACCTCGAAATCCCGCAAAGCCTCACCGCACGGTCCGTCGACACACGGTTTGGGGACCTCGGATGCCCCATCCGCCCGAGACGTCCTAGGAGAACTACCCGAGTAGCAAAACCGTGCGGTGACCCCGAATCCCCACCGACTCACCACACGGTGTGGTCACCACCCCGTTTGGGAACCTCCGAGCCGTGAGCAGCTTGGGACGTCGATGCCTGGGGGCCGGGACGCGGCCAGCGTGGTCAGCGCAGAGGCGTGGTGGGCCAGAAGCGGCAGCACGACACGCGAAGGCAAAGTGCTGACCCACATCAATAATAGCCGGGTGTGGGATCGATGATGAGGGGCCTGTTTTCCACCACCACCACCACCGTAAGTTGGAGGGGGAGGGGGTCTTCCTCCTGCTCCTCCTCCTCTTTCTCCTCCTCCTCCTCCTCTTCGTCCTCCTTCTCCTCCTCCTCCTCGTCCTCCTCCTCCTTCCCCCCATCCAACTTGTGGGGGTGGCGGAAAACAAGCCCATCAGATGCCCTGAGACCTCGGCGCGCGGCGGATGTAGATAGAATTGGCCCACCCGGAGCCCGAAATCTATCCACATCCACCGCCTGCCGAGGTCCCCGAAAATCGATGCTCCAGGCGTCGGCTATCGAGGAGATGCGAAGGGGGCAGAGGAAAGAAGAGGGCGGCTGAGGGAGGATGATTTAGGGGGGGGGGGGCGGAAGGGATGAGAAAGGAGGAGGGATGCGAAGGTGAGGAAAAGAACGTTAGGAGAGCGGGAGAGAGCGGAAGGGGGAAGAGGGAGGAGGAGGAGGAGGAGTGCACATACTCCAAGAGGAAGAGACGAGGGCAAGGGGGCAAGACGCTAGACGAGGCAAACTGTCCGCGCGCGCGTCAATCCACTGGCCGGCCTACTTCCAGAGCAATGCGTTGGCGGCGCACAACCCTTCAGCTATCGTGGCTGGGGTCGGCGCGGCGTGCTTCAATCTGTTGTACAAACTGAAGGCCAACGCAAGCCGCTGGATCGACCGCAGCAACGAGAGGTCGCTATCGGGATCAGACGGATAGGCGGCGGGGGGGCCCAGGCCCCAGTGTGTAAGTGTGTTACGGAGCGGGGGAGGGTCGGGGGACCAGATGGGGCGCAGGAGGCCAGGACAGGAGAGGTAGTGAGGGAACGAATCGGGTGCAGCCTGGCACCCAAACGCGCACTGCTTCTGCTGGAGGACGTGCATGCGGTGGGTGGTCGTCCAACCCCCAGCAAGCGTTTTGAAAACCGCCTGGCGCCAGCTGGGGCAGAGCTTGTGGAGTACATTGGTGAGAGCAGACCATCGTCGCGTCGCGAGCTCTGGGGCAGAAGGCTGCAGGATGCCCCAGGCTTCGATGCGCTTCTCAAGAGTGACTTTGAACGGCGATGAAAAAGAGGAGCGGCGTAGCTCGAGCGCGACCGCACGTTGCACCTTCGGGCGGCGCGGTGGCTCAGCAGCTGGGGCATCACGGAGCTCGCGGGCAGCTGCGCGGTTTGCCGCGGCCACGGCAGCTGCAGAAAACGGGAAGGCACGCTTCCAGCAGGACAGGGCATGGTAGAACTGCACGATGGAAGTGTCCTCTTCCCAAAAGGGCGGGGACCACTGCCCTGTCTCCCACCGATGGAAGGAGTGAGCCGTGCTCTCCTCCCACGCGGTGTCACGCAGGCGTGCATGGAATGGTTCCCATTCCCCGCGCAGTGTGAATGTAGCAGAACGAATTGCGGCAGCGACGGCAGAAATCTGAGCAGAACGTGCGACAGGAGGCGGACACCACTCCGCCATTGCAATGAAATCAACTTTGCGGAATGGGTTCGGCGGCAGGTTGAGCATTTTGTGAAAGATGTAATGTTCACGGCGAGCAATCTTCAAGTCAAGCGGAAAGAAGTGTGAGACACAGCTGAGTGCCGAGACGACCGATGTGTTGTACAGGCGAACGGTGGCATCACTGCCACTCTGGACAAGCTGGAGAGAATTACCGCGCTGCCATCATTTCTGCCCAGGGGCGAGAAGAGGGCGGAGGAGGAGGAGGAGGAGGAGGAGGAGCAGGAGGAGGAGGGGGAGGGATGACAAAGAGGGAGGGACGAGGGAGAATGAACCAGGGTGGAGAAGGAGAGTCGAGGGGGGAGGACGAAGGGAATGACCAGGGCAAGACGAGCATACATTCTGGATGCCCCGATACCTCCTCGCGTCCGATGCCTCTTCCTCTTTACACAACTACCCGTCGTCGCTTCACGGAGCGCCCGCTGGCAATGTGAGAGGCCGATCGGCCTGCCACATGTTGTGGACGTGCTGCCACACTGAAACGGCAGTACTCCCCCATGGCCCAATCAGAGGCATGGGACGTGTAAGAACCCTATTGGTTGCCAACTCGCCCCAAGAAGCACTATACCGCACAGTGTAAAAACAGAACGGTGAGCCTGACAAGGAATCAGCCTTCGCCCATGAATCAGGTCCAAAGTCTGATAACCATAAGCGCGGTGCTGAAGCGAAAGCGCGATTACGAAAGCCGTCCCCCATCGGTGTAACTTCTGAACTCCACAGGCAGCAGGAACATGAGCTGTGGGGGAGGGAATCCAAATGAATAAGATCGCCCATGCAGTGAAACATCAAACTACAACCCGAATCAGATGTGAAACCACGGGCGCTCAGATCTATGATGTGCTGGAAAATGTCGTGGGGATGCAGCCGGGTCGCGTGCGAGAGGACGTGCTCGAGGGCAGGAGACACTTCTCCCCAGGGGCAAGAGCGTAACAAACCCAGGGGACATTGAGGGGAACTAGGTTTAGGTCGGGCATGTCCCCCTACAGGCGGATTTTGGACCAGAAACAATAAGAACCCAAAATAATACCCCAATAATGCGTAAACATTGTCAAAACATCGTCCCCTGACTATTTTTGAATATTCCCCCTGTAGAGGGACAGGCCCGACTTAAAGCTAGGAGACCATGATGGCCCCTCTGACCTTCACTGGTCGACCAAGGGCTGCACGCTTACTGAAACCACGTTTGAAAAACAACAACAAAAAAGCACGCCAATAACCCGCGTGGCTTTCCCGAAAACAGAAATCGCCCTGCCCACACTCCTGGCGGTGCGACGAGGGAGGCTCCCTAGAATTATGTTGCTCCCATCGTACTTAAGGACCACATCCTAGTAACAATATCGAGCACCCGGAAAAGTGTCGGAGCAGTGTCGAAACAGTGTCGGACTGCGCCCGAAGCAACACAGGGAGCGGTGGACTTGGGTCCCAGGGGGCCCGAATATATCCAAGATTCACCGCCTGCCGAGGCCCCCGAAGATCGACCCCCAAGGGGAGCACAGCGCGGACGACGACGACGACGCCGACGCCGACGACGACGACGACGACGACGACGACGACGACGACGACGACGACGACGACGACGGCGGCGGCGGCGGCGGCGACGAAGCGTCGTCGTCGTCGTCGCCTCTGTCGTGACCGCTTTCTCCGCAGTCGCCGCCGTCGCAGCGGAGGAGCCCGACACTGCCCGCAGCGCTGGCCGCCGCCTCCGCCGCCGCCGGGGGCGGCCGCAGCAGAGGCGGCGGCGCGGCGCCCGCGTCTCGGCGCTTCGCGGCGGGGCGGCGGGCTGGGCGCTGCCGTGGAGGCGACCCCCCGCGGAGCTGACGTTGCCGCAGGGCTCTCCACAGGGCGGACTCGGCCGCCCTGCTGCGCAGGGCGAGCGGAGCAACGTGGCGTGACGACACCGACTGGGCCCAACACGTAACTGACTGGCGCGATTCGTCCGCCGAAGCGTGGGCTCGGCACGCGTTGGCCCACGTTCTGGCGGACGAACCGCGCCAGTCAGTTGCGTGTGGGGCCCAGTCGGTGTCGTCACGCTACGTTCCTCGCGTTGCGTAGCAGGGCAACTGAGATCCGAAGAAAATGCCAGAGCCCCAGACCCGATTTTTCTGCGTGATGTTCCGAGCGGGATCGACCTGTGAGACCTCCGAGCCCGACAGAACGCGGAAACGCTCGTGGTGAAAACATGCAGCGCCAGTCTCCGTGGATGCCCTGCGACAAGGCCTCCTCGAGCGGGACGCGGCCTCTGCGGAGCGCGAGGGCGCGGGAGCGCCTCGCGCGGCCCGCGCGCGCATGCTCACGCGCTCGCCTCCTCCCGGGCCCGGGCAGCCGCCAAGCGCGTGTGCAGCTCCGCGATCTCCTCCTGCTCGTTGATCTCGTGGCGCTTGAACCCGCACCTCTCCAGACATCTCCGAGGTCTCGGACATTCTCGGAGGTGGCCAGTTGTCGTTTCCGGCCTCCAGCGGCTCTCAACGGGCCCCAGGACCGCCAACAAGAACGACTCGGGACGAAAAGCGGGCCCCCGGCGAGAGGGGGCCGTCTGGGGCCGTCTTGCCAAGACGGCCCCAAGAGGGCACAAAGACGACCCAAGAGGCCTCCAAGACGCCCAAGATGGCCTCTAAGATGGCCCTGGAGCACCCAAGGGCCCCAAGTCGGCCCAGAAAGGCCCCACAAACAGCTTCCGACGGCGTCAGACGGGCCAGGACCCCAACAAGATGGCCGAAGTTGGCTCGCAGCTGGCTCAAGACGGCCCAAGAGGCCTCCAAGAGGTCCTCCAGGAGGGTCCGAAGAGGCCAAAATCATTGATGTTCCTGAGATTTTTGAAGGATTTTCGCATTCGCTTCTTCTTGGCTTCCCGACGACCCAAGACGGCCCACGAGGCCCCCAAGATCGCCCCCACAGCGCCCAAGAGGCC